GAATGCATCTTATGTGTGTGGCACTGACTTTATGGCACCTAAATCCCCTCCTCCTTTCTCCTAGACTCAGTTACAGATCTTTCATACTGAAAGGCCAGAATGAAGGGCTGAGCTTGAAGAGGAAAAAAAAAAAATACTCCAGAAGAGGTAGAAAAGAAAACCTGCTTAACCCAACTGATTATACACTACTTTTATATTAAAGACAGTGGCATAACTAGAAAGAGCATAAGAAAACAAAACCAAACAAAAAACTAAAGAAGGGAAATTATCTGCCAAGAGACAACAGGGCAATGCAAAACTCCTACTTTAAACATGGATCTGAAAATTCTACAGTTGGAACTGAAAGGAAAATCAGAAAGTGTTAGGTCAGAAGTCACTGAAAGATTCAGGAGTAATGTCATAATCAACAACACACTGAAGATTCTCTCTGGAATCACAAGCATGAAATTTATAGATGCATGTTTCTCCTGCAGAACAGGTCATTTCAAAAGCGGACAGCAGGATCGAAAAGTTGACATTAAGTCATTCAGAATAAACAATCACAAAATAAATTATCTAAGATAAACAGAATTTAATTCTTCTTTACAAGAAATCACTTAAAATGGTAAAACTTAGGCATTTATGAGCACAACTTATTACTTGTATTTATTTTTCCATTAGTATTAAAGGAAATCAGTTGATGCTGGGTTTCGGCACTTTTTGTATTTTCTATAGAATTCTTCAAAACAATTTAAACTTGCTTTTTCAATGCAAGTTATGGCCACTACATGTGTCTAACTTTGTTCATGTGAATAGTTTAAGTAATTTTAATACAGCTACTCTTGTGAACAGATGTTCTGTAGTAGGAGTGCTACAGTTTCCTAAATTAGTGCAATCCTTTTTCAATTTGCAGATTCCCTCTAAGCTCTGACCTCCAGCCCCCCTTTTGTTCCTGCTTCCAGAACTCTGAAATGAACCCTGCTTGTGCAACATCCACACAGTAAAATTATAATGGAGACTTAGTGTTTTGACAATAAGTTTTGACAAAATGTTGTCATTTCTCCTCTTCTGTATTCAAGTGGTTTCTAACAGACTCGAGAGACATATTCATGGCTGCTTGAAGCATATCTTCTTCACTCATATCACCTCCTAAAGAAAATAAATGCTTGTAAGTTGTAAAAAATGCACAGAGCTAGTTCTCAACTGTAGTTAAATGCTTTCGTTGTTCCTTTTGTCCACACCCACCCATTTCCACCCCACCTCCCAAACCAGTTTTGTTTTTGTTTAAAATCATTGAACATTTCGCATTTAGCTTTCCATCCACAACGGTCAGTTTGTGACAAGTACACGCATTCATTTGGGATCACCAATACCTAATACTGGTAAGGCCTACATACTTATGTTCTACTGAAAACTGGTTCTAGTAGTTTTGTCAGATATTACTCCAAGTTTCTTATGTTGTCATACAGCTTTAAAAGTCTTTTAGAAAACAAGTTGTTGGCACAAATCCCATCAAAGACTCTGATTTGTAATGTTCAAGCCAAACAAAACAACAAAAAGCAAAGCCAGAACTCAAATGGTCTAACAGTAATACTCTTCACTTTGAAAGAGGATATTGACATTCAAAGCAGACCAGGTTTTTCAAGAAAGTGATCCTTCTTTCACTGCCAAAAAGAGCAATGGCTGTGATACATAGGTTGGCTGCTGAAGTGAGGAAGTAGGCAGACAAGGAAAGTTAGGAACCTAAACACAACACAAAGGTGAAAAAGGCATAAATAATTCAGTGTTGCAAATAAGTTTAAAGAACAATACCCGGGTCAGCTTCCAGAGTGCTTGAGCTTAGAGTTGGCTTATCGTGTAAGTTTGGGGTCTGATCTTGCTGCTGTAGCTGTTGTTGCTGCCTGAAAGTGTTATAAATTTGTAAGAGAGTAAGATTAACATCAGTGTGAGACCTGTATCAAGTCTATTTCATTGTAAGGAAGGTCAAGAGTGAGAAGTAGAAGCTGTTTTGTACAGTAACACCCCTGCACCTAAAATCTCTTCAATCATTGCACCCAACCAACCTTCAGACACCTATCTTCCCAACATTATATTCCAAGCCACATTACTGTTCTCCCAGAATTCGGATGTTCTGCATCCTTATCCTCTCATGCAAAGTCGATAACTCCTCCCATCCACAGCATTTCTCCCTGGTCTTTATTGTGACCATCATTAGGAGACAGAGATAAGGAAAAGCTACAACAATACCCCAACTATGTATTAAGAAGGTACTGCAGAAGAGCAACATAAAATATCATCTAGAATGCTTTCATGTGACACACATTAGAGGCATCACTACCAGAAGTAAAGTCTTAGAGAAAGAATACTTTTCTTCAGGAAGATAATTACAGAAATTGACAGGATTTCATTTAAAATACTCCTATAGCATGTATGTTTTCTTTCTTCACAAGACTGATGTAGGATTACTAACAGATTCCCCTCTTATTTACAGGTTTCTCTTCTTCATAGGAACCACCTGGGAATAGCAAAATTCAGGTACTGTTAGGAAAACACGTTAGGAGAGAAAAGTTAAGCTGGACCTCAGTCAGAAACCCATCCATGCCCCAAAAGCACTGAAAAATACAACATGTACTTCCACATGCAGTATTCTATCAACTACTTTACTTTTCAAAATATGCTTGTCTTCTCTTTCGCAGTTCTTCTGAAGAAAGGCAGTCTGTCTGACTGGTGTGAGGCGACTGAGCAACATTCTGTGGTAATGAGTCCGAGAACCCACTTCGACGACTACCTAAAACCAGAACATGCCACATCCTACTAATTACAGTTAAATGAAGTTAGTGAATGAAATATAACTTAAGAAAATGTCTCCAAACTTGAGAGGCAGAAAGAGACTTGTTGGAGAAATAAGTACCTAAGCTAACTTCACTTGTTACTATCTCTTTTCCTCACCTTAGGACTGTTTCCATTCCCTCCTGCCACCCTTTGCCAATTTGTTCTTGCTTCCTGAGGATCAATGCTAACATGAAAGTTACAGCTTTTTGAAAAGCAGAAAGGAGATAGCTACAGGAAATTCTGGATTATCCTTCCATGCCTCAAAGCCAGTCTTTTAAGAGAGCTTGATGCATGCTGGAAAAAGTGGCTGACAAACTCATTTCAGTAGCTGCCTAAAGCACAAGCAACATGAACACTTTAAGAGAAATTTAGATGAGCACTGCACCTTGCATGCTGAGTTGAATGGCTCTGCGAAGATCAGCTTCTTCATCTTCCATATCAATTTCTTGCCTACTTAGAGCCAGGGCTCTCTGAAAATTCTCTTCATCTTCATCTAACATGCCTGTTCCATCAAAAGGGTGGTTGACTTCTATTGCTTGGTCCACATCACTTCTGAGTAGCCTGTGAAATTGATACATTTATGGCAGAATTCAGACAGAAATTATATTAATTTTACTGTGAGATTTAAATTAAATATTTTATGCTGATTTGACTCTTACTTTTTTTTTTACCTTTAAAAAGAACATTTCTATTGTTAAAAACTGTATTTTCATTTCTACATGAAAAAGCACAAAAGGGCTGCAAACAGAGCTTACAGCTGTAAAAACAAAAATACTGCAACTCTAAACCCATGCACATGTTGACAAGAATCTGTTCAATAGGAAAAACTTCAAAACCAATAAACCTACAAAAAGCAATAACATGTCATTCAAACCTATTGCAATTTAAACAGCTAAACCAGCAGAAAATAGTGCACACTGTCTCCTTCTTAGGAAGCTTTGATGACCACACAGCAACATATCCTCTGTGAACTATACACACTTTCCATGTTACTGCCAAGTAGTTTGTTTTTACTCCATCAATTTACAACTCCAGTTTACCTTTACAAAGTGGAAGAAATAATACCGAATTAATTCCTCTGAAAAGCCTTAAGCCTTTTTATCTGTATGCAATCTATTCACTATGAAAATGTGATAGAATTATTGCAGAAGTAGTACTTTATATGCTTTCAAGGACGTTTTATATTAGCAGCATGCATCACAACAGAGCAACACCACATTTCCAATGAAATTACTCCAAAAGCGAATGCTATATGATTTATATGATGTGGCGTTCAGATACACGTGTTTCTCGTTCTTTTCTACTTATGACAGAAAGCACAAGCCAGTCTTAATTATAGATAGACTACTATTAACCACGGTTTGGTAAGATTTGCCAACCCATTTAACCGTAATTGGAAAAATACCGTAATTGTGTAGTTAAAAAACTACACTATACAATACTTCTGCACATGGAAAGATTGAATCCTTATTAAGGTACTTTTTGCCCACTAAAAAATACAGCACTTGAATTCTACCAACTTGCTTTTACTGTGTGCAACAGTAGTAAGTGTATTGCACTAAAGGTACTGCTAATTACTTCTTAAGGGTGTTGTCTCCATGTAGGCATTAATCATGGAAACAGATCATACTGAACATTATTAAAATGAAATATCTATTTACCCTACCTCTGATCTCTTGACTGTGCTGTCTCTTCTCCAATTAGTTTTGGTCGCTGCATCTGCTGTACCCGAATCATCTGCAATAGCTGATCAGCCTCACAGTCTGGCAGGTCACCTTTTACTACAAATATGGAATAACCTGAGAAAAATAAATCGTAAGTCTATGGCATTAAGGTGCATGCATAAACACTCTAAACCACACACTATATGGAACACAATGATGTGCAATTTATTACGATGTAAGGCTCTACCTTTCATTATAAGGACTTGGGTTATTTCACTATTTCAATCATCAAACTAAAGGTAGTTAACTGAATACATAAGTTCTAATAAATAATGATTATTACCTACTTTTAATTAATGAGATTTAACATCTGCAAGTTACTATTACCTTCCTGTTGTAATTGAGCCAAGAAAAGTGCAAGATATGTATCTGATATTAGTTCTGGACCCATCAAGAGAGAGTTCAAGTTAAACCACTGTAATTAAGAAAAAAAAGGTTTGAGAGAACAAATTAGCATAAAGATTACTCGGTAATCCATTTCTGTACATTGTGGTAATTTTCTATAATGGAATATCCGAATAAATCTAGTAAAATAAATAAAATTAAAAGTCTTTTGAAGCACAATATCTATACTGCTAAAGGTTACCCTTAAAATACTCTTCAGCTAAGAGGAGATCTGAAGTAGGGGAATTACTGCATGCTCTCTCCCATTACTGAACACTGGTACCAGGCAAACAGATTAAAACAGATAGATCAAAATATAATGGTAGAAGAATGATTTCAGACATAATTCTAAAATTCTACTTAATCCTAGTTTTAAGCCTGTTCAGAGACTAATGAAGGAAGAAACCCTTAATAAGTTAATGCTGTATCTTAAGAAATTAATAGATACAGGAAACAGAAGTTTAATTCTTTCCATGAAATACTTTCATTAAACATTCTGCCTTTCATAGCTGGTGATGCTGAAAACTATTGTTTACTTCCTGACAAGATAATTTTTTAATTTAAAAAAATAAAAAAATTTAATACACTGATAGTACAGTGTAATATTACAATAGGGGACACCTGAGATAAATATACACAGACCATTTTCTAGTTCCCTGAAGATGACAACTAGCCATTTATAATAGTTCTTCTAGAGAGAAAATATATTCAACACGGACGACAAAATATTCTACCTTTAAGACACATTATATATATCGCAATCAATCTGAAGAACCTTTTGTATACCATACTCATTCAATATTATCCAATTTTAACCATTTCAGATAGCAGAAGGAGAATGCATCTCCATTCTCACAAAAGTGCATTTATCTACCTAAACTTCCATATATGCAGTCATATACTTGCAGTCAGGCCTATACTGCAATTAACCTGGAATATAGGTAAGTGACTATCTACCATTCTGTCACTCAGTCTTAATTTGTCAAAAACGCCCTTTGCCTCTGGGAAAGGGTAAGACAACCAACAGTGTAGAAGTGGGGAATAAAAAGTTATGTAAACAATACAACAGACAGATTACAGACAAACTTTTAAAAGGCAATATGGAGGAAGAGGTTTGGTAAGGTAATTTTGCTTTAACTTAACAGAAGAGCAGCAGTCAAATCTAAGTCAACCAATTTTGTCTAACTTTTCTCATTACTTTCTAGATAACAGGCAACTAGTATTGTCTTTATGTGGTTACAAGCCACATGTACAAGCAAAAGACATCCCCCCTCAAACTTACAACATTTTTGGCTAGAATGCTATCTCAACAAATTCCACCCAAAATGGTTGTATATATAAGGAACATTCCCATACTTTTAAGAGACCATTCATCCTTTTCAATACCAAATATACAAAATTGCCTGTAAACATTAGCCATACTTTTAAACTAAAGCAGAATAGCAGAGTTTAGTTTGTTTGCTCGCAGGTGATGTTTTTTAATTTTTTTTTTTAAATCTGGATGACAACATAGGTAACCACCACTTGCTAAATGAACCAAAGGGGTAAAGAGATTCCTGTCCACTATTGTACAATCTAAAAGCTTATTTCATGACCATTTTCTGTGACAAAAAAAAAAACTGGAAAAACCAAGCACCAAACCAGCTTATGTTCTATAAAAGCTTATGCAGTATGATCCAGAACAATGACTGGCTACTGAAATAAAACACTGCATTGGTGTTACAAAGGACATGGATGTGACTCTAGTTATTATATATGTAGCATATACTTGTATGGCCATCCCTTACCTTTAGTAACTATTTCCTGCTTATAATACAACTGTTTCAGAAAGTTTTCTGAAATAGTGCAAAGTTGTGATTCTACTTTCCCCAACCTTATCCTGATGGATATTCTTAAATATCCATCAATCATAAATATTAATATTTTGAAATTTGAACTTTTTCTTCTATCTGCTGTCTATTTAAATGAGCAAAATTATTTTTACAATGTCAATAATTTAGTGCATTAAAATAAGTTTGCATTCCATAGGGATCCTAATTCTTGTCCAGGATGCCTCCCTCTCACCACATATAATTTTTCTGCTAAGAAAAGCAGAAAAGAGCTGCAGCTCCCTAGAGGACAGGTTCACTGGGGAATTAATCCTAGGGTTTTTCATAAAAAGCTGGCATTTTTGTGGTATAACAAGCATTTACTTTTTTTTTTTATTTTTAATGTGGGATATGATTAAAGCAAACTGCAGCAAAAGCTTGCAAAAGGCCAACACATGGTCTACTAGCAACCACTTTTCCACCCCCATTCTGAAGTCAATTTTTAAATAAAAAAAAGACAATGTCACCTGTTTTCCTATCTTTCGAACTGTAAACCAGTGTTCCTTATAATTACAAATAAATGATTTTTCATTTCTGTAAAAAGAAAAACAAAAGGTATACATAAAATTAAATACTCTAATACTGGAATGCATATTAATGTTTAAGTTCTTTGCTACCGCTAATTTAAACTTCTATAATAAAATTTCAGTAATACAACTGTTGATGTTATGGAGTACTCATACTGCTTTTATAACATTTAGGAAGTTGTCAATGTTACTGAAATCTTCATATTCCTGTGATGCCAAAGATACTCAAATATCACGAAGGCATCTGTCGATGCTCATAAACACCCTCAAAAGCAAAAAATGAAAGACAGAGGAGATAATAAATACATCAGAATGCAACAGAGCTTGAAATAGTAATTTTAAGGGAAGATTTAAATCATAGATTAAGAGTATTATTTTTCTGTAAAACAAAAGCAGGGTGCTAAGAAAAAGACATCTTACATAGGGTCGATCCCAAGCCTCTGATACTCTGGGCTGTTGAAGAGGATTAATTCTAAACCCCAAACTTTCAAGGCATTGCTTATGACCTGTCAAAAAATAGCACTTTTCATAAGTCAAACCAGTCAAGTCTAAATGTAAGCAGTGTAACCATCTTAGCCACTATAAACAATTATACTGTTTCCATAAAACTTAGATTTCAAAACATTGCTAGGAAATCTAGGAATCATATTATTCAAAACACAACTGTCATGAATCTACATGCAAACATAACATGCATACTATATCTAAGGGGAAGTAACAAAACTAGGATTTAACTGAAATGTGTTAATAAGCTTACTCCCCCAAAGCTGCAACTTCACCTCCCACAGATACTTCATAAGTTGTCAGCTCTGCTCTCATTCTACTGCTCTGCCCTCCCTCCCCCCCAATACAATGTCATCCTTCCCACAGTAACTACTAGAAATTTCGCACCACTAGATTGTCACAGGATGAGTCAGGTACACTAGCACAAACTCTTTCACAATAACTCTTTAAAGCTATCTGAAATAATGCTGTAAGAAATTTTAAATTAACATTCATCTTCCTTTCAGCGAGCCAACTATGTAGCAAGTGAGCAAAGCAATGACAGGACAAAAAAAAGTAGAATATGAGGAAGCATTTTTTTCCAGCTTCAATATTGAAGCAGCACAATCAAAAATACGAGAAATGCCAAACTGTTAATGGTTTTTCACTAAACAGAAAAACAGCCCTGTCCTGCCATAAGGAAGAGAGGCTCTTGAGGGATTCTGGAACATTGACAAGCACCTCTGAAAGCTCAAGAGACAGCCAAAGGTGCAAAGCATTGCCTACAGCTCTAGTCTAGACACAAGCCCAATTCAGTGTTCAATACCTTTTTTGTTGTTGTTCTGGTTTAAGTATTTCTTATTAATTACTTTTCCATTATGGTCCTTAAAAAAAAAAAAAAAAAAGAAAAGAAAAAATCCAGCTCTAAAGTGTGTGGAGTGTGTTATAACGACTGGAATGCAGCTATTGCAGCTTTTTCCATTCTGCAGATCACTGTGATAACCCTGTAATCATGGCCAAGGGCTCTACTGTCTATAATTTGAGAAAACAACCTCAAGTCTGCTTTTTCACCTGTAATGCATGGGAGCCAAGGTCTATACCAGAAGTACCCATAAGAAGCAACTTAGAAGTCAAGCTTATTGCCAGGAGGTATCATTCCACAGTTCAGGACTCCATGCTTCTACTATGTGTTTAAGGGACCATGAACTGAGGAACTGTAAGTCACTGCTCTTACAGGAAAACACTCTGAAGATTTAGAAGTCCAGCACTTAATCCTATTAAGCCTATAAACTGGAAACTAGATGAAAAAGGTCAATGCCATTTAAATTATATGAGAGAACACATATTACATAAATAAAAATTCTGGCAGTAGAAAGCCATGCTTACTTGAATTGAGAAGAATCCACTATCATCCATATTTACAGAAGGCTGCTGCTCAGTGTGAAGTTGGGAGGGGAAAAAAGGGGAAAATGGTGTAAGCATAAAAGGTTGGAAATAATTCAATTTTGAAAATAAATACAACTGCAGATACAGCAAAAATTAAGTATGTCCTAGTCTGTAAGGCTGATTACAATGCCCAAATAAGCTCATTAAAAACTCAAACTTTAAATTAGAAATGCTCAGTGCTTAAAGGACAGACAGGCACAAGAACTTCTGTTCCTATTTCTGCCACTGGCTTATAAAAACAAAAAGCAAATCGTTGATCCTCCTCCTCGCCATGCCTGACCTTCCTACCTGTTAAGATGTAGCTTTTTGTAGAATGACTGTAAAACTATACTAGTAACATTTGAAAATGCCAAATTTAAGATGCATGCATGAAAAGGCTTATATATTTATTAAGTTTTAGCACTAGAAAATTAACCTTCTCTAGTTATGCAAGAACAGAAGGTCTGTGCTACACAATATTAGGTTTCAATTAAGAAGATTTTACCTGTAAAAATGTTCTATATTCTTCACTAGACACTCCTCCCTCTGCCATTCTCATTCTTTCTTCCTCATCCAACTGCTGTGCAATAGAAGATAACTCAACAGGACTAAAATATTCCCCTTGTAGCAAATTATTCAGACAGTGCTGAGCACACAACGAGCCTTCTTGCTAACATTGGAAGAGAAAAAAAAAAGACAACAAAACATCACATTAATGTTTTACTCTGTGAAATGACTCAACCATTTCATTCTGGCAAACTTTCTGCCCTCCCCACTAACCCAGAATGCCATACATTCTTTGGATGTATTACACCGCAAGCTATAGAATACAACCCTCCCATCAATTTGATGGGGGAAAAAATGAACATGCATACTACTTTATTTCTTCAAAGGAAATAAATTTCATGTGAAAAGTATTACTTTTGAAAACACTGTAAAAATTGCCAGTGGCCCAACCAAGTCACACAAGGACTCTGCAACCATCAGAACAATGGATTCTGTCCTCTTCCAAATCACCGCCACATGACAATGAAATGGTTTACTCTCTACTTCCCAGTAACAAATGTTTTCTGCAACAGATGCTCTCGTTCTTTTTAAACTTTTCTTCCCTGCCAGGTGAGGCTATTGGCAATCTGCTCTCCACATGTGAGTAAAGAAAAGCAGACTGTTAGGGCTTTAGAGAGATTTAAAAGCATGCACCTATGTTATTTATTTCCTTCATTTCAGGTCACACACCCAGTTCAGGTTATAACCAATTTGTCTATTGCTGAGAAAGTGATTAGGAGCTGGAGGAGTAGTAAAGCTCATTTTCACATGAAATTTATGTATAGGAACTAGGTAAAAGATGCTAATAGTACTGGTTTTTAAATCTTGATGACGATGAGGTGACAAGAAAAATAGTTAAATTCAGCATATGGAACAATGAAAACTTTTTTTGTTGATAAATCATTTAAATGGAAAACACTTCAGATACTTTGTTACATATCCAGCACGCTGGAGATAACAGAAATGTAATATGACATTTTTAGACTGTCAACCCAAATTAAAAATGAGTAAATTAGAAGTGTCAGTCATGATTCTGTAGCACAAGTTAAAAAATATCTAATCTGAATGAATGCATGTCAGGCTCCATCATTTTCATAAATGCAGATAATATACTGCCTTGTTTAAAAAAATCAACCAACCAAACTAAATTACAGCTTCCCATGAAAAGCAATCTTTCATTGCAAATAACCAAACTACAAGTGCAAGGAAAGACTAACATCAGTTCTGAAATCCCTCTTTTCTCTTTTGTTTTAATCAGTCCTCATGTTTATTTACATTGAGAACTCTAATGTGCATACACTCTCTTAAAAACAAAACTAAAACCCCCTCAACAAAAATCAAGAATGCCCCTCCCTCCCGCCAAACCTACAGAAACGTAAGAATACAAGAGCGTGCCTTGGAGGAATATTCTTTAAACTTCCATGAAAGCCTCATACAAATCACATGCACAAATCTCCCATGATCTCCCTTACAGCAGAAACCTCAAAAATTCTTTACCCCAGATTACAGAATCTTCCTAGGGCTTCATCACTCAACTGAGCAATGAGTTATTAAAGCTAGACTGGCTGTACAGCCAAGGTCCAACAGAAACCACAAACCTCCTCCAGCTCATGTCTTTCCCACAACAAGCAACTGAAGAGTATACAGCTCTTGTCATTTTGGGACCACATCCCTGCTGCCGGTCATATGATAAAACTGTAGCAGAAGAGCCTGCTCAAGAATCACAGGTTTCTTCACCAGAATTATATGAAACTGATTTAGAAACAGAGAGATATTAAAATACCTTTGAAAATTAGCTGTATTACAGGCTTAAATCTTCATTTCACTAAAAGGACCTTTCTGTATTTGTACAGTTTTATCTTAAAGTAATAAACATTAATTTTTGTATGCACAATTTGCACATATTAAGTGCAAAATGCAGAAGAGAAAACTGATCTTACAGTTTTTAAACAGACATGAACTTCAATTTATTTTTTTTTGTGCAGAGAGCACTGCATCTTTCCATAATCTGAAATCCCCTCATTGAAACCTAGCCTGATATAAACCACTGCCCTGCTTTCAGTGTTTTCAGCCACTTGTATCAAAGAAAGGACCAACTTCTAAGACAAGGGCTCCTTAAGGCCTACTTTCTGCAATTGTCATTCCCCTGTTAAAAATGCCACATTGCTTAGTCTTTGTTTTGTTAATTTCCTTCACAAATAACATGTTTTTCATGCCTTTGTATTGTAACATCCAAGGTGTGCAGATTCAAGTAGGGGGTGTACGTGTACATGCAGCACTCAAAAATATTTTGACAGGACCTTAGGGCACTTGATGGGGGGGGGGGGGAAATACCCATTAAAAAAGAAGACAGAGGTTCAGTTAAATTTTCCCTAGAATAATCATGATAAGATAAAAGTATCTGGTGCTCCAATTTAGAACAGGCATTCAGGTGTAACTTTAAGTACATACCAGGAAGCAGTTATGTTTTGCTTGTGAAACACCCAAGACTGTTACCCCCTTCCCCCAAAACGCATAGCCACTATAAGTTACAACCAGTTTATAACTTTGAACAAATTATGGTCTGTCACTTCAATTTTAGCAGAGTTTTGTTATTAAACTACAAAGCAGCAAGCAGCTCAATCGTAAAAAAGTCTTTATTCCACTATGTGATGCGTTTTGCCACATAACAGAGAGGTACACTTGTTTTGAACTCATTTTCAAATGTAGACTGGAACTCAAGGTCACTGTAGCAGAGGCTGTAGCAGCTGAAATCCAGTACATCCTCTGAAGAGCAGCTGTTTAACACCACAATGCTTGCCAAGTTTTGCTACCCAAACCTAATTTGAAAGAACATTCCTCAGGTTCTGTGGATTTCAGAACAGTCATTTTTATTTTTTTTTTTTTTTTAGGAAAGTTACATAGCTATCTTGCTTTATTTGCTAAGTAAACCAACCATTAAGCATGAGAACACTGTCTAAAAACTAGTGTTAATCTTCACACAATAAAGGTGCAGAAAGATTGACAAAGTCCATGAAAAAAGATAATTATATTTTAATAGCATTAAAGCACAGATAGCTCATATTTGGGAACCTGGCTAAAGCACAGCAGCTCACAGAAGCATTCATCTTCCAGAAGAGGAAACACTGTTCAGCACACAGAAGCACAGTACATGAATTAGCATTTCCTTACCAGCTCTCCCTTTCCCTGCTCACTACACAACCCCAACCACGCCAGACTGGGTGAAGAGATGTGCCCGAGAGCACAGAAGCAGCCCTGCCCGCCCCTGCTCATTTCTCAGCCACGCGAGTTCCCTCTCAAGAACCAGCAGCAGCTGCAGCCTGCACCCTCCCATACTCGAGTTCTACTTCTAAAGGCCCAAGAAGCACAGTCACCGCACGGGAGGAAGCGCTGAGGCTCAGCCCTGTCCCTCTTTGATCTCTCGTGACAACGCTTCCTCTCCCCGCAGAGCCGGCAGGCCTCGCAGAGCCGGGCCACAGGCACCGCGTCGCCGCGCGGGAGGGCCCCAGCTCCCCCCTCG